TTCAAACTGTTTTGACACACCTTATCCATCAGAATTCGTGATATGTCAATTTGGGCCCTTAATTTTGTATTTTTCACATTTTAGGTCCAAAAATTGTGTTTTTAGCCCAAAGAAATTATTACTAAACCACTTAGCTATTTTTCTAGAAACACTTAGTATGTAGAAATATAGTAGAGGCTAAAATCATTTAACATAAGGTATATCTCGGTTTTGAGGGGTTTTATGGCTAAATCTAACATTATAACTCACAAAAGCACACATATAAGCATGGAAATCATACAAAGCATACAAAACACATATAGATCTACACTTTCACTTGTATTCCCCCCCCCCCCCCCAAAAAAAAAAAAAACTCATAAAAACAAAAAATAGGGGTATGAAGCTCACCTTGTTTGAAGCTTTCGGTTTTTGAGGAAAAGAGAGAAGAAAATGAAGTGATTTTTCGGCCTTAGCACCTTTCCTTGGTAGATCTTGAGTTTGATGTGCTTCTAGGATGTAAGATCACGATTTTTGCATGGATTATGAAGAGATTTTGATAAACAAAGACTCTAAGTAATAGATCCAAACATAACCTTACCTTAGATGAAGAGTTTGTGGAAATATCCTCTTGAAAGCTTCCTAAATCTCGAGATTTTTGAGTGGAGAGGGAGGATATGTTCTTGACTGTTCTTGAGAGAGTTTGAGAGATATTTGTGTATGTGTGTGTGTGTTTCGGTCGTGAGTGAGGGAGAGGGAAGAAGGAATGAACTTTGAGGTGATGTATGCATGGGTATATGAGATATAATGCATGGATAACCATGAGGTAATAGTGAGGTGTCACTTGAAAGTCAACTCTCTTCATCTCCTCTTGGGTTTGGGCCTTGGGCCGAGAGTTTTGAATGGAAAAGGAAAAATTTGGGCTTTTTGCCCCTAAGCCCAATATTAGAGTTTGTTTGGGTGTGTTTTAACCTAAAAGAATGTGATATGACTTTTACATTTTTGTTGGACTAGTTTAGGTTATTCATGGATCAAAGCTTTTAATTCATTTCATTCTAGGCCCAATATGGCCCAAAATGTTGAAATTAATTAATGTGAGTCCAATTAGAGCCCAATTAGGGTTCTAAGCCCATGATAGTCTAATTGGAAGCTTATTGGTCCATTTGGATCCAATAAGGAAGTCCTAGTCCAAAATGGACTTAAACAAGGACTTCTAGGGTCTCCAATTGTTTGATGACTATTTGTAGTACTTGTATGATGCCTTTGATTGGAGTTTTTGATGTCATAATAGTAGGTGTCAATCATGTTATTAAGTTTTGGATTCACATTAACTTGAGTGTATAGATTACATAACACAAAAATTCCAGTTGTGACATATTCATTGTTATTATATAAAATGTTGATTTAAAAACGGTATTTTAAAACTTCTAAAACTTTGTCATATTCACTTATAGGTAGGTACACTAATAAAAGAAGTAACATAATTAAGGATTTCCAAAATCTTAATCTAAGAACAAAAGATGATCATGCTTCCATATTGCATTTAATGTTTGACCATTTTAAAACCAAGAATCAAAATAATAAGACTTGACATATGTGATTTGTCAATAATCTTTTACTACCATCTTAGGATCAAAAATCAAGATTTAAGATTCAAGAATCACAAAATCGAAATCAAGATTTTAAAATTTAATATAAAAATCAACATATTCTTGCCCTTTTTGATATATATATATATATATATATATATATATATATATATATATATATATATATATATATATATATATATATATATATAACAATGTATTTTTTAAAATGAAATTTGTGTTTTTAAGTGAGAAGAATGTTACCTGTGAAACCATACCCACTCTTACACAAACAATTGATATTTTTCATGTGAGTACTATCCTTTTAGATTGTTAAACTGTAAATTTAGTCCTTGTGGTATTCAAAAAACTTTTGATGTGGTCCAAAAACTTTCTCACTTGCATGGAAGGTCCAAAATCAAAACATTTCCGTGATTTTGGTCCCAAAAAATTTGAAAAGATGATTATGCCCTTTTATTTTCTTTCTTGTATTTTTTTTAATTATTTTAATACTATTCTAATTAAAAAATAAAGAAAAAAGAAAAAAAATATCCCACACCCTACCCACCGTCCCTCTCTCTCTCTCTCTCTCTCTATCTATCTCTCTCTCCCCACAAAACCCATCTTCATCATTCTGATTTTTCAGAAAAACGGAATATCACCACTACCATCTGATGAAGGTTTAAACCAGATTGATACACTCTCTCACTTTCTCTCTCTTCCTTATTCATACACATACATATAAGGCTGAACAAGATGAATATATGGGTACTAGATGAAGATGAAGAAATCAGGGGAAATATAAACATGAAGATATTGTGTTCATCTCATAGCTAATACACAAATGCCAAAATTCAGGGGAAAGAAATAGATTTCTTGCCTTCAAACATGAACAGACACATACACTCTAGAAATTGATATTTTGCCTTTAGATCTCGTTTCGTCTTCAGATCTCGGTTGTGGAGACGGATTTTAATTAGAGTTAGACATAGATCCGACGACATCATCGTTTGAAACCCTAACATTCTTCGAAATGGCAGCGATGGTTGATTGCTAGTGTTTTCAGCGATTGATTCCAGATCTTGAACAAAAACCATTATCGACAGCTTGAAGCATAAACGCAAACGAGAAGGGCAGCAGCATCAGGTTTCGACTGAGGATCTAGAGATCTTTCTGGTGAAGACGGACACCCTTTCATCCCTTTCTCCCTCTGTTAAAATCGAAGACCTAACTTTACACCTCTTCTACTTAAATCGAGAAGTTTTTTCAAAATGTTGATTATCTTAAGAAATCAACAACCCTTTCATTCATCTATTCATACAAGATCTGGAGAGAGAGAGAGAGAGAGAGAGAGAGAGAGAGAGAGAGAGAGAGAGAAGAGAGTATCAGTAGGGGTGGGGGTGGGCCCAATTCTTTTATTTTTAATTTTTGATTAATATGTTATTAAAGAAAATATAAAAAAATACAAAAAAGAAAACAAAAAGGGCATAATCATCTTTTCAAGTTTTTTTGGACCAAAGTCAAAGAAATGTTTTGATTTTGGACCATCCATGCAACCCCGAAAGTTTTTGGACCCCATCCAAAGTTTTTTGAATACCACAGGGACTAAATTTGCAGTTTTGTCTTCTCTAAATTATAACTGCTTACATTTATTATGATAACCATTTTTTATTATAATATTAATAGGAATGGTTTAACCCTATTATTGATGCAAAGTAGGCTTGATTTTATTTCATCAATTGTGTATGGTTAATGAAAAATGAAACATATATTAATAAATTTCTTTTAATTTAAAAAAGTGTATAATCAAATACATATTTTCTTTCATCTCACTTTAACAAAAAGAAAATTTGGAGTCAAGATTTTGCATGGATACTTTGTGCGATGTTGACTATAGAATAAGGACATTATTATTATTATTATTATTATTATTATTATTATTATTATTATTATTATTATTATTATTATTATTATTGTTATATATATATATATATATATATATATATATATATATATATATATATATATATATATATATATATATATATATATATATATATATATATATATATCTTTTGTGCTTGTGAATCATTAATAACGTAATAAATTACAAGAAGTGTCCCCAATATCTCAGAAATTTTTGAATTTTTGGATCGGAACTTTCAATCTTGCATTTTTGGTCCTAATTGGATAGTTTCATTTTGATTTTGGGATTAGACAATGTTCAAGTTCACCCATTAAGCTGTGTGTTGCATACAAGGGTAGTTTGGTTATTTTTCTTCAAATATTTATTAAAGAGGTGGTCGCACCACCCTTAACTCACTTTAGTAATAATATAAAGAGAAATGACCATGCTATCATGGTGTGCGACATGGCTTTGATGAGTGAAATTGAATTTGTTCCAAAGAAAGTCTCAAAATTTAAAGGAAACCATCTAGTTAAGACCAAAATTACAAGTTGAAGTCCCAAACTTAATATTTTTGTCACCAAACTCATGGACCAATCTTGTATTTTACTCAAAGCATAATTGTATATAATTCAATCTGACTTTTTATTTTTAATGTACAACTAACAGGTTTACATTGAGCTTCTTGGTGATTTGTCATGGTAAACAACAAATGAAGAAGTTGAATTGGACTTCAAAGCTATAAAAGATAGGTTTGATAGTCACCAATATGGCTTAAAAAGTTAAATAAAAGATTATGGAACATCTAGCAGTTTGCAAGGTTGGATAAACTTATATTAATTTTTCTCATAGGTAGTGTTTGTTATCATGAAATTGTGGAATGAATGGAATGGATTATTCCAACGGAATGAAAAGAAATATGCTGTTTTTTTTTCGTTTGATGGAATGAAACTTTTTATTTTCTATGTGTTCTATATGATTATTTATTTTATTTTATATTACAGATAAAAATTGTGTAGATGTAAATAGCCTAAATCATAGAATTTCATGTGTACTGCATAACTTTTTTTGTATTGTGGCAAATAAAAGTGTCACTAAAAGTAACAAGAGTTTTATAATTAGTTGATCAACATTTAATGGCACAAAATATGTGCCACAAAAAACTTTTTTTTTTATTGCGATAAATAAAAACGTGTCACTAAAGGCCTAAAAATTGCAGCGGCAAAAGCAAAAAGTGTCACTAAAGGGTTTTAGTGGGAGAGTTTCTAGTGGCACTTGTTATGTATGACGCCGATTCAATAAGAAGCCTTTAGTGACATTATTTTGGGGTTTTAGTGACACTTTTTGTATGTCACTAAATGACATATTTTTTGTAGTGCACCCGAGCTACGTAAAGAATATGTTAAACACATACCTTGTAATGCTAGGTTTAACGAAATGTTGTACACATGTAATTTTGCTTTCCTCCATCAGGTTCTATTTCAAGCTTTTGCACATTCAAGATAAATCATGGGGGTTCGTTCACAAATATGGTATCTGGAAGGTCGTACATAGATGGGCTTGTGGATCACATTGATTCTGTGGACATGGATGTGTTTTCAATCCACGAGTTAGCTAATATGATGGCAGTTTTAGGGTACAATGATGGAGGTATAATGTTTTACCATTTCAAGATCCTAGAGATAGACTTGGATAGTGGATTGTTACTATGTGGCACCGATCAGGAAGTCATTCAGCTGGCAAGGTATGTGTCTAATCATAAGGAAATTAATTTGTACATTGAGCATGGGAATACTAAAGTAGTCCCTTACTTTAAGTGCCCGTTCAAGGTTCGTATTGAGGAAGTTGAAGGGGATAATTCTCCTGAAATGAAAAGGGTTAAAATGAAAAGGAAATCAGTTGGGTCTTGTAGTAAAAAGTTGGATTTGAATGAGCCTAGTGATTTGTCAAAGTTGATTGTACCCTATGAACATGTGATAAAAAAAACACTCAACTCATCGAGAGAGTGATCCCTTTAGGGGGTACAGTTTGAGGATAACCAAGGTAAAAAAGTTGTTGACACAGGGGATGATCACCAAACAAAAGGGGATGTTGATCCAGTGGATGATAATCAGGTAACGGGTGATGTAGATGCAAAATATAGTGGGGGGAAAATATACATGATGTTAAGTTTTTTAAGGATGAATACAGTGGAAGTAAGGAAAGTATTAGTGAGGTGCTAGGAGTGAGGGTAATAGGATAGATGATGATAGTGAGGATGAAGACTTCTTTGTGGATTTAGAAAATATTTTAGATGATGTGGATGTTGATATGAAAGATTTTCATATACATGTTGATGAAGATGTTGAGCGGGTTCAAAAAACGACCAAAGAAGCAAGTGGTAGTGGTGTTAACTTTACTGAAGGTGAAGATTTGGAGGTCATAGACCCAAAATCATTTGATTCACCTATTGTAGGTGAAGATAACAATAGAGAGAGGATCTTGCGAGACATACGAAAAGCAGAACCTTGTTCTGAGGGTGTAGTTCATCCAAAGGCTTTCACATTGGGACTGTAAGTCCCAAAACAATGAATCTAACAGTAATCAAACAAACACCAATCAATCAAGTAAGAATGTAATAAAAGAACATAATCAATCCAAGCATGCACACATTTTATTAATTGAATAAACTTCTTATACACCTTGGGGACCGTACACTATAAAAACTCACTGATTCGCCAACAACCTGACATGATTCTGACACACCCTATACATAGGGGTAGATTGGGCGTAAACAGGGTTACGGCCGTAAACCTGTTTACGACCGTACACACACTTAAGACCGTAAACACAACAAAACAACTAAAACTGACCAAAAACCTAACATGAATTATACAAAAGATTGCCTAGCCCAAACCACAAAATAATGCCCTTTCAATCTCCCCCTTGGTTTGAGGCTAGCATAAGCTCAGTCCTTTTCAATAACCAACACATCTGATCTCCCCCATTGCACCCAGCCACATGCTCTTGTTAATTATCTCAAAGATCATGCTGGTAAATTCTTTAGCAGCTGGCTCCAGAACTTCTTGCTCACAAATGATTTGATGACCTGCCAGCGTGTGAATGTCCCTCTCACCAAATTGAAAGAGATCCCTCTTATCAATTAGATGAAATGCACCATTTTTAAACTTGATGACTGCTGAGGCTGTTGCTTCATCATATACCCGGTATAGCATGTCACGCAAAGATCCATCACAAAAAAATTTAATGATAGGAATCTTTGTCAACTGCTTCGTAGGAGGCCACATGACGTTTTTTATTGCCTTCTTGGTGATTGGGTCAAACACATGTTTAGCAGTCTTCAGAAATGATTTAGCAGTCTTCATACCATCAAATCCTCTCCTCACCTGATTTTCCAGAAAGAGTTTGAAAGCTGTTGCCTGAGCATTATTAGAGGGATTGTAGAACGGAGCAGTAGACAACTCTGTCAGATCCACCTTGGTGAGCGAAGAGAAGTCATTTTTATATTTGTAGTACTCCACTATGTTGCTATTTCTCTTGACCAGCCAGTAATTGATTTTATCGTGATAACCCCACATACGGACTCCCGGCCTATATCCATACTTATGCTGGAACTTTTTCTTTTCAAGGTCGATCACAGTTAGTTGAGGATGATCACCAGTTCACCACGAACGTTCTGATCAACATTTTTCATAAACAGCAGTCCTCCCCTTTTCTGAGATGTAACTATTCTCCCTCCTCGCTTGATAGTGATTCGGGGTGGAGCTTGAGCCAGTTCCGTCTCAAAACGGTTAATGACCGTTGTGGTTCTAACTGGCCTGTTGTCGATCTGTTCAAAGGTTGGAGTAGTGGCTGGAGCAGTTGTAAAAGCTTGAGAAACACTTAGGCCTTCATCTGCTGATTGAAACTTATCTCTAAATTCAATGATAAGTCTATTCTTTATATCAAAGTAGCCAACTGAAAGAGCACCAAGGTTGATTTGAAGATCAGAAATTTGTTTGGACTTTTAAGTGTTTTCTTGTTGAAGTGCGGAATTACCCCCAAAAAGAGAGTCAACATCTTCAGGATCTTCATCATCATTTTCAACATCCCCACTTTTGCTATAATCACTCTGAACGTGCACAGAAGTCAACTCATGTTCCTCGGCCACAATTGCTACCGAAGGAACCCTGTTCTCTTCATGATCTGACACTGTGATCACATAATCATCAACATTCATACGGTCAGATGACTCATGAGAAGCAGAGGCTTCACTAGATTCTACGAACATGCTAAATTTTACCAAATGGCACTTTCCCTCAAAGGTATATTTACCCTTACGGTTCTGTTTGATCAACCCAATAGTATTTGGACCAAGAGACTTGATGTCCAATGGCTCACCATCTTTAGGAATCTTCGGGAATTGCTCGTTAATGATGATTTGAAGAAACCTCGGCTACATCAGAAATTTATCTCTAGTCTTTCCAGTAATGATCACAACCAGCTTATCCAGAATGAACCTTGAGAAGTTAAAATCAATTCCAGCAGCAATAGCTCTTGTATTTCTTAATGAAATCTCATCAGCACCTGATCTTCTCCCTGAAATGCAACTCACAAAAACATGAGCTAAAAACCTCCAATATGGTGGTAATAGCTTCTTCAAGGTAGGAGTTCATAACCCATTATGCTCAAGAGTTCTTGAGTTTTTTTCACTTCTATTTCAGTAGGAAAGCTGGATTGGTTGTCAATCTTCAGAACATCTCTGATTATTTGCTCTGTGACGATAATCTTGCATCCTTTTACGAGAGCTTCAATGAATACAAAAGCATTATCTCATTTCTTAACTGTTGCAGATTTCCAAAATTCTTTTATTAGACCTTGATAAATTTCTGGATTTAGGATCAGGGTTGTAGCTAAGCAGCACTCCTTCAAGCCAAGAATCATGGACTTAAATTCACTATGGGCAGCAGGAGGTTCAGCCAATAGGATTGTCATATTGTGACTTTCTACGAATTTGGGTACTGCCATTTTAGTCTGCATGAACGGAATCAAGTGAGAAAATAACAATAATACAGATATTTGTGCAACAATGTGATTTTGACTTTAATATAATTTGTTTTTTAAATCAAAATTGAGTTTTTGGCTGAAAAGGGGGTTTACGGCCATAAACACCAAAAACCCATTTTTTTTATTTCTAATTCGATTAAAAGTCGTTTTCTTGAAGGATTACTTTTGTGAGGGTCAGAATGCACATACTTATAGGTTCAAACAATCAATTTCAAGAATAGTCATGAAATATCTTACGATGAACAGTGATTTTTTGAGAGCAAATGGATGTTTACAGCTATAAAAAGGTAAGTGTTTCGAAAAAAGAGTTCACAGCCGTATACCTAGGTATTTATACCTGGACCAATGCTCATGGGCTGCCTACTTCAATTTCAAGTCCAATACCACAAAAATGTTTAAAAATAATACATTTTGAGGATCTTAAAAATAAAATAAAACAAAATAAAATCTAAAAATTTTAAATTAAAATAAAAATAATTTTAATTTTTAATTTTTAGCAAAATAAAAATAAAAATAATGAATTAACACTAATTTCTTTTACCAAAACTGATAGTACATTGAATTTGGGATCAAAGTTCTTAGATAGCCTGAATTCGTTTATCAGTACCTTCTTCTTCATGAATAGATATGGCCGATCTCTGATATTGTGGTCCACTTAAACACGAAAATTTTGTGACAAGATTAGGACATACTGCAAGTCAATGTGTAACACCCCGTTTATTTAATAAATAATTAGACAAATTAATAAATGAATAATAGCCCTAAAAGTAGAATAGTGTGGCAAGGAGCTAGTTTTAGGGAATAAAATTTATAATAGAGAGTTTTGGGTTTTAATATGTAATTCCCAGATTAGTTTGTGAAGAATTTTGATGGTTGAAGGCTGTTAATAAATTACAGATTTAATTTGAGAAGGATTTTAGAAGTGAGGGTATGTTTGGTAATTATTAGGACTTATTATGAAATGGAATTCATAAGGTGGGTATAAATGGTAAACGATGGACTTAGATTGAATAGGTTCTTGGGGGCGGGGGCTAAAAGGTAACTTTTAGGGCTTAATTTAAAGAAGAAATAATGAGGGGCTATATGTGACAAAAGTGAATGGAAGTTTATGTGAGAGTGGGATATACCCGGTGACCTTCCTTCCCGTCACCTTATTACTCCCAAACCCTAACCCTAGTGGGGAATCAGCCGCCACTCAATCTCGTTTTTTCGACCAGATGAAGCCTCAAACGCCGACGCCTGTCGTCTCACCATCAACATGCCATCATGGTCTTGTTGTCGGTGAAGACACACTCCCATTATTCCATTGCAACCGATGTAGGAGTTGAGGACCGCCAAGACGAGGGTCGACGAAGACATGGGATGCAAAGCTTGATTCATCGCGGTGAACGAGATAGATTGGTCGGACTGCAACCAACCTTCGACCAACGATGTTTAGCGCTACTGAGGAAGTCTCTGAGGCTCGGAGCGACGATGATCGGTCGTTGCTTTCAGTTCTTTGCCTCCCTTTCTTCTTCTACTCCCAGCTCTTGCTGTCGGCGTCATATGGAGTCGGAAAACCCCTGCGAACCTCCGCTGCCAGTGTGGATGAAGCACCTTGCGCCAGTCGACATGTTAAGCGAGGTTGAAGTGTTGTTGGGCAGTGGATCAAGAGGAAACGCCACCACCACCGTGAGGTGGTAGCTATCAAAGTAAAGTTACCGCCATCTCGTGCCTTCACTACCATGTACGCCACCAGGTGGGTGGCAGTGTTGCTGTTTTGGGCAAAGAGTGCTTGTGCGTGTTCATTGCAGTGTAGTGGGGGTTTGGTTTAGCTGGATTTCTCGGGAAAAGCCACCACCACCGTGAGGTGGTGGCTTCCGCCTTGTACCGTTGCCGACCACCACTAGAGTGGTTGTGTGTGTTAGTGTAGTGTGTGTGTTTATTTGAGATTTTATTTAAAATTGTAAAATTGGATCCACCC